GTACTTTAAAGCACATAAATTAGTTACCCGGGCAATTGAATCAATTAGCCAATCAGATGAATGTCGGCCTATGAGGTAGACTATCGAGTACATATCAGGAAACTTGTTTCCCGGATATTCATTGGTGATGCGTAAATCTATGAATTCTTAATAGTATTTTACCAGATGTTTGTTTCCCGTTACCATTACAAAAATCACTACTTGTGTTTTACAAAATTTTATAAATTTTACAAATAAAATAATTACAATTTAAAAATAAATTGCTGCTTAATAGAACCTCAAATTTTACTAATGTAATTACACATCAAGTCCGCGTTTATTTAAATATTTCGTGTTTAATGACTTTCTTTTAAACATATAAAATTATATTTTTACACAAATGTTCATTTGGTGCTAGCAAAATACATAATAAAAAAAACAAAGTCTATATATAATCCATTTTTTAGTAAATATCAAATCGTATATCGAATAAAATTAGAAATTATAGATAGGGGTGCTTAAAAGTTCCCTCTTTAACTTGGTAATCAAACACTACTAGTAATATCAATAGTTTACCCGTTGCTAAAATTCAAAAATAATAGTTAATCTTTCAAATTTACTCAAGTTTTATTTGAGTGAGAACATCAGCTTATTTCCTACCTGTATATCTGAGATATAATCTTTTAATTTTTCACCTCCTTTTTCAACCACTGCTTTAATTGCTTCATAATCTGATGCTGCTTGTCCAATGAATTTTCGCGCGAAATCACGTGCATTAACCTCAAATCCTCCAATATCTAAATTTTCACGCCGTGAAGCTTCTTCCTCTCGTCCAAAGTATTGATTAGAAGATATAGATGTTGCCCCTTCGAATTGCCTCAATCGATCGGATGCTTCTGAAACAGCATCAGGATCATACTGATTGCGGCCAAAATATTGATCTGAAGAAATTGACTTTTGGCTTCCGAATTTTTGACGAGCGTAATCAGTATCTGAAATGTAATCTAATGAATTTATTGGAAAAATTCAAACCTAGTTAGTTATATCATGATAAAAAAAAAATATTATATATATATATATATATATATATATATTATTATTATTATTTTAAAAAAATAAAATAAAAAAACTATTAAATACCATTATTATTCGATTTACTTGAATTTGTATTGCCAGTTGATCCAAATCCGATGAATCGCGAAGTGGTCGTTTCTTCAGCTTTCGTTGTGGTTCCACTAACACTTCCGAATCCCAATCTCGAAACTCCCATACCAAGTCTTTCAATTTCATCACTAAGACGGTTGTTATTTATTTCTTGGTTTCCTCCTGGTGATTGCGATCCATCATTATATACTAAACGAGAACTGAATGACCATCGTTCTACCGGTTTGTTTAAGTCGGATTCTTCTTCATTCTGTGACTGTTGTTTAACTAATTCTTCTTCTTCTTTGGCTTGCTGTTCTGCTAATTCGATATCAACCTTTTGAAGTTTTACTGCTCCTAAACCCATTTTTGATTTTTTTTGACCTTTCCCACGAGCAGTAATGTTTGACCTTGCTGTAGAAACCGGCTTTATCACTTTATGACTATTAGGACTAGAAGGCTTGTTTGTGGTCGCAGTAACAGTTATTTCTTCTGTTGATGTAGGTTTTTCTACTGTTTCTTTGTCAAATGTATCGAAAAAGTCTTCAGATTTGGTTGAAGCTTGTTGTTCCTCTTCAACAATCTCGAAATCAGGATTTCTTCAAAAATAATTAGAGTTAGACATTAATTTAAAAGTGATAAATGCAAAAAAAAAAAAATTTGAATTTACTTTTTAGAATCTTCATTAGACCTTTTAATAAGTTCATCTTTATATTTTAAGGCCACACGAGATGTATATTTTAATTTTGCATCTTTGCTATTTAACGAAAAACCACCACCATTTTTTGTGAAATATTCTAGGGCGGAAGCGTTACCACCTATTTTCATAATTCTTAATTGATCCCATGTCCAAGAATCCAGTGCTATGGATCTGACACAAAAAAAAAAAAAAATTCATTTCGATCTTATTTAAGTTAAAAGAGGTGGTAATTGTTAAAATGGATCTACCTCACAAAACTGATATGGACCCCAAGATTCCTGTGTACGGAAGAACAATCTAAGCAGAGATATATGCCGAAGGTAACGCTAGACCAAGAAGGATTTTTAGCTTTACAATCAAAGCACATCTACAAGATCAAAATTTCCAAAATGGATTATGTGTCTGAAAAAAAGGCTTTAAATTCGTACGAAAGCACAAGTAAAAAAATCTACTTTATTCGCTCGTTGAGAAGTGAGCTTTTTGAAGATCTCATCAATTTGAGCTTTAGATGGTTCCGACATTTTGGTAATTAAGGAATTAACTCTGTCAAGAGGGATTCGTTAGAGTGTTGTTAACGTGGCTGTATCTTGTATGTTTTATCGTGTACATGTATGTACCGGCGCTTTCCGATACATTATGCTGCACGAATTATTGAAACTTCGTGGAGTCACTCCGTAGTTTTAAGCCACATGAAAAATTCCGGTTTTTTACAAATATGTAATTTTTGGACGATTATCTTGTAACTGGCCACCGAAAAAAAATTTGAAATTTTCAGTGTAACAGTAACCAATGTCAAACACGTTTTTTTTGTTGTGAATTTGTAACGGTAAGCAGCTTTACAAAGAAGCTTTGACCACTCAGAATGCCGCAATAGTTACATACCGGCATTCAATGCATTCCAATTGGAAAAGAGCATTTAGCCACACTATGAAGGCTGATACTAAACATGGCTGACTACTAACTAATGATCTTTTTTTTGTGAACCAGGTTTTTAATTTGTTTATAATAAACTGGTGATTCTTTATAGTATAAAGTAATTTAAAACATTTATTATTATATTATACTATTCAACAAAAAATTTATGTTTAATTAATAAAAAAAATGCATTTAAAATAAGAAATATCTGGAAAATCCAACTTTTGGCCCAAAATTGGCTAAGTCGAAAGTTATATGATTCGAGCAACCTTCCTATCGGAAAATCGTAATGATCAAAGGGAGGGAGTTGGAAAACGAAAAAGGAAATGATCAAGTAAAAACTTAATTTTGGTAATATTGGGATCCAAGTTGCTGGAACTGAAATTCTAAATATTCTCCTTCGAAGTATAGATGGGATACATAGGGTGCTCTCAAGTAACTTCCTCAATGTGATCTGATAGTGATTGAGATGATGCTCAATTATTACAATTGATCGTTATAATGATTCCAATCGAATCATCCAGGGCGACCATCAAAAAAACGCTGTAACGTGATCATGCATAAATACGCAGATCGTGGCGCAGCGCCTCTTCTTCGACCTCACATTCCCCTCATCGTTCCCATTTCAAATGTCATCTATTTTCATCTTCATCAATTGTCATTTGGGGATTTTTTTCTCCTTTCTGACGCATTAAATCTAATTAAACCTATATATTTTTCGCTCACTTAATCTGTCCCGTTAATCGATCATCGAGAAATTATTATTATTTTTTGCGTTAACACAATATTAGCCCAAGATTCGTTGTTCAAACCATAAGTACAATGCATAAAAAATAAAATTGCATTTGAATTTAGCATATCCACTTTAAAAATTGACCGGATAAGAACATTTATTACAGCTGTTTTCATAAATTCTGGGACATCTGGCGAAAAATTGACCGACCGAATATTTGCCGATTCGATAAGTTCTGAATCGGCAGCTGAATCACAAACTTATATCGAATCGGCAAATATTCAGTCGGTCAATTTTTTTTGATGAAAACAGCTGTAATATACGTAAAAAAAAAAATTGACCGGGTAAGTTTTGACAGTTAAAAATATATATTTGCAGGTGTATAAGTAAGAGTAAATTTAGATCATTCGCTCTTTATAGCCAGGGCCCACCACAGAAAATCATCGGCTTGTTCATAACCCTTAAAGTACTAACATAAAATAAAAGCTAGACTTTTTTCTGATAAAATTTCTTTTTATATATACGAAACATGGAAAGTAATTTACCATTCTTCTATCAGCTCATTCGGGATTTTTTATTATTTGAACAATAAAAAATCCCCGAAACCGCATAAGTTTGGACGCTAATTCGGCTCTATTTATTCATTTAAAAAAATCGGGTCAACTAGCCTAATTATTAATTGTTAACATGAAATTGTTAACTTAATAAATCATTTTTAACAATTATCAAATATACATAGAAAGTATCGATAGAATGTGTAATTAGCACTCTAATATAAAATGATTTTGTAGCGATGTTAATAATTAGAAATTCCGGTCGCTATTTACATAATCCAAACTTTATTAAATAATAAACTCAGGTAATTTAATATTACAGTTTGATTGCATTAGAACAAATTGAAAAATCTTACAGCCTTAGTGTTTTGTCATTTTTCATTCTAATATTTTATATTCGACTATGGATAAACTTATCTTTTAAAATCATAACTTCGCCATCTTATTAATAGAGAAACTTCGTGTTATTCGTGACCTAATAATAATAATATTAAATAAATAACTAAATGATACCAATTCATAGTAACTTTAGTATTTTATCTTTTTATATGACCCTGTTAAGTCAAAAAAATCAATGTATTAGTCTCAAAATAATCGCATTTTAAAACGTAATAAATATAGCATGCTCAAAATATGCTCTAATATCATATATATGTAATAATTGCATCATATGCACCATTGTTTGAGCCATTAATCAATTTCCCAGTTTTCTAACTTACAACTCTCTATTCGACCTTAACTTATGGGATGTTCAGAGAGGTCGGCTCACATTGTTCTGTACAATTCATTAATTTAACAAAACAATCATATAATTTGGTTTTTGTCTGGCCCTAGACATCCCTAACTTATCAATTCTTACTGTTTGCTCTTAACTTACCAATTCGAATTGTAACAATTATGTCTAGCTTTGGCTATATTCTTATAAATATTCGCACTATGGACTTGATATTAAGCGAAAGATTGAAAATTAGTATCAATATCATAAAGTTTATTCTACAATATCAAACAGTTGTTACCTCACGACTTCAAATTTTTATCAGAATTAATACTCGAATCAACAAAAATGTCAGAAAAGCTCTGCAGTTCATGTGGATCAAATCGCCCCATTGAACAATTTTTCTGGAATGGCAGGCGCCACAAAACGTGTATTAAGCACAAGAAAGTTCGTGATCTAAATAAAAACTCATCCAAAGATATAGGTTTAGAAAGCATTGAACAATTAGAAATTACTAATCAAGAAACCGAGCAGATAAATAATGATACATATATTAATGTCGACTATCTTGAATTGGGTGACTTCATTGAGCACGAAATTCTGGAATTAATGGATAATATAGATAATATAAATAGTGGTGAAATGGTTGATGAAGTCTACAAGACAAATTTACTAGTGCATCTGGACATGGATATTCAGAACATGACGGTAAAAGAGGTTGCTGATCTCGTCATTACTGAAATAGGGGGACGATTATTCGTGGAAGTAAGTGTGTTTAATATTTTCCTGTACTATTGATTTAATTATATTAGTCTGAATAAATATATTACTGTAGCTATCATCATACGTATTTCTCTAAAAAGTTTGATAACCAAATCGGGAAGTTGGTATACGTTTGCTGCCAGTCAAAAGAGGCGCAATGTGAGGCATATAAAAACTCAAATCGAAAACGGCGTATACGATATAATTGTGAGGGTAAAATTATAGTGAAAGTTGACATGTTGCTTGGTGTTGTGGCGGTAAATATACATCATGGGTTTCTTCACGAAAGGCCGGATCTTATTGCTGAAATGCCTCATGAGCTAAAAGAAGAAATTAATACACATGCACACCTTACCACAACTGAACTAATAAACCATCTACAACGTAAGAAATTTGATATTTCTGAGTTTTCACCCAAACGCATATATTATTGGAAGTCCATGGCAAGTAAAAACAAATTTCAGCGCCATGCTGATCCTGTCGAATCAGCATGTAAGTTGCTTGAAGAACATGAAAGTATGGGCTTTTATCAGTGTTTTTATATTCGAAATTCGGAAGTTGTAGCAATTGGATTTATTACTCCCCTGTTAGATATAATTAAAGTTAAGAACATTAATATTACAGAAGCCTATATGGATGCAACGTACAGAACCGCAAGGGGTCGCTATGAACTTTATGGTATAGTAGTTGATATTGAGGATGCTGGGCACCCAATTGCTTACCTAGTACTGGATACTACTAAAGCTGAAAACATAAATACTAGTACAGGAAAACGTAGTGAGATCTTAGAAGCCTTTCTTTTGTCAATAAAAAGGTGTTGTATTGAGCCAGATTTTATATTTACCAACAAGGACTTTGCAGAAATAAATGCGGCAACTAATGTGTGGGGAGCTCTAAAGATTCAACTTTGTCAGTGGCATATGGAGCGGGCTCTAAAGAAAAAGTTAACAGAAAAGCCCAAATCATCAAGTAAAAAAGATCTAATAACTGTAGTCTATGATACTTATCAGGCAGCACATGAGTTTGACTTTATTGACCTCGCGTTTTATTCTACGGAAAGTGATCGCAACCCAAAAACCTATATTGTTTGCCCAGTAGAATATCAAGAGCCAATTTTAAAACTTATAAGAAGTCATTTTGATATGCATCCTCTAATACCTGTTAATGCCCAAGGAGAGACTATATCGTCAGCAGATATTAGAAAACGTGCTGTAAAAGAGATTTATGAGTTTTGTGTAAACAACGGGTTGCGACTATTATGGGGTACCTTTGGACTAACTGGTACTCACCTAGCCGATGGAGTTTGTGGGCTCGATCTACAAAACCTACAATACCTTTAGGTAGAGATACAGTAGTAATATTTTCATTATACTGTATAATTAAAAACAGATAATGATTATAATTAAATTTAGATCTAACTATTCGGTTTCTTAATCATTCATACCTCTAGGAAAAACAACTATGAAAATTGAGGCTCACTGGGGAGTTATCAAACGACTTTATCTCCAACGATTCAACAGCCCTAGGTTGGATCTTCTGTTTTGGACGCTGTTTAATGAAGTAATCCCATCACAAAAAGATTGATTATTGCAGCTTTTAAATGGTACAGTAAATCCATATTGGTGGGAGGATTTCAAGAGAGAGTAGGAGTACACGGGTGCTAGTGAAGAAAAAAGAAAAGAAATACGGTCAAATAAAAAGAGTAAAAGAAAACGTATCAATACTGAAATAACTAAATTAACCAATTCAGTTGGTTTGTACTTTACTTAAGTCTCTGGTTGGATCTGTAGTTGTCCAGCCTTTGTAGGAAATTGCTTTTTAATATGTAAGCACTTGGTAAGA